GGATTATACCACTGACGATGCCATCATTGTTATAGAAAAAGCTGCGGCCTCTATCAAGCCTGAAAGAACAAATTCCTGCCAAGGAAACTGCGTCCAGATGTCGTGCCTGACTTCAAAGGATTTAAGACAGAACCAATCAAGGAAACTATGAGAAAGATTGTGGATATGACAAAAAAAGGGAGGAGGTGAAGGATTTCAAGATATGGATCTTGGGGAAATTCAAGAGCAAATAGATTACACACCACAGGGATTAACAGAAGACAATTTTATGGAGATGAGAGAAGACGTAAAAGAAGAAGTGCCAGAAAGCAAATTGACATTAGAGAATCTGGCAGAAGGCTTCTGATTGCTCAAGGCTGCTTTTAAATTCTTTTTGACATGGACCCTTTGACAACACAGGCACTCAAACTAAAGCAAATTATGGAAGCAGTATTGGTGCCATGTGGAAACATCTTTAGAGAAATGAAGAAGCAGGAAAAGAAAAAGTCAGAAATGATAATGTATTTCTGTAAAGTTGCACCAAGTGTCTATGTTTCTCCCACTTCCTATTCTACCTTCTTCACCTCTTCTGCCTCTGCCACTCTTGAAACAGCCAGGCCAACCGCTCCTCTTGCTCCTCTGCCTCAGCCTACCCAATGTGAAGCTGGCTCGGCAGCTACACCAGCAGATACAAAAACCTTTCTCTTTTTGAGAAACACATTTTCATTTTACACGGAAAATGTAGCTCTCATATGGGGGCAGAATTACTGTAAGAAAGGTATACCTATATACTCTAATATGATCAGAGAAAAACCAAAGTCATTGTCTGACAACTTAAAGCAAGAGGAAGGTGCAGGATCTAAAGCTGGAGAATTTAACACCAGTAAAGGAGATGGACTTTATAGATGATGCGCTTCCACTTAATGAATAGTAAATACATTTTCTCTTTTTAATTTTCTTAATAATGTTATAATTTCTCTAGCTTACTTTATTGTAAGAATATGGTATGTAATACATATACAAAATATGAGTGAATCGACTCTTATGTCATTGGTAAATTTTCTGGTCAACAGTAGGCTATCAGTAGTTACATTTTTGTGGAGTGGAAAACTATATGTTGCTAGTCTTTGTCTTTGGCTGTAAACTAGGGGTGATTTTTTTGCCCTCTATACTTCTTTTGTTTTCTACAAGTTATGTATATTATAAATATGTATTTTGTAATCAAGGACAAACATTTACTAGCTTTATTAAAATATTATTTTAAGGGTAAAAAATACACACACACAAACATACACACATATATATACACAAGCTGAGCACGGTGATGCATGCATGTAGTCCCAGCTACTCAGGAGGCTGAGGTGGAAGGATATTGCTGGAAGCCAGGTGCCCAAATCCAGAATGTAGCCTGGGCAACATAGTGAGACCCCATCTCTAAAAAGAAAATTATGAAAATAAGAAGTTATACCTGGAATGTCAACTGTGAGGGAGGTCGGCCTTGCTAACCCCTGTGTTGTTATGGGTCAACTGGAGTTTAGCTTTGCTTGCTTTTGTACTTTATATAAAAAGAATCATATAGTATGCATTCTTTTACATTTGGCTTCTGTTGTTCAATATTGTTTGAGAAGTGTATCTTTTTTTTTTGCCTGTAGCTTTACTTCATTCATTGTCATTGCTGTGTAGGATTTCACTGTGAATGCACCATTATTTACCTGTTATGCTGTTAATGTACACTTGAGTTTCCAGTACTTGGCTATTATGAATGTTGCTATGGGCACATGTTTCTGGGTGCCCATGAACAGACTGTTTATGCTGGGTAAATCTCTGGGCTGAAATTGTTAGGTCTTGGGGTATATATATATATATATATATATATATATATATATCCAACTTTGATAGTGTTTTTTGGCCGGACTCAAGCCTGTAATCCCAGCACTCTGGGAGGCCGAGGCGGGAGGATCATGAGGTCAAGAGATCGAGACAATCCTGGTCAACACGGTGAAACCCCGTCTCTACTAAAAATACAAAAAATTAGCTGGACATGGTGGTGCATGCCTATAATCACAGCTACTCAGGAGGCTGAGGCAGGAGAATTGTCTGAACCCAAGAGGCAGAGGTTGCGTGCGGTGAGCCAAGATCGTGCCATTGCACTCCAGCCTGGGTAACAAGAGCAAAACTCTGTCACACACACAAAAATAGTGTTTTTTGATTATTAAAAGCTTTTAAATTTTGTGTTGTCCAGTTTTTTTATTTTTGCTATTACTGTAAATGCTTTTGTGTGTTTCAGTTAGCCTTGTGATCCATTTAAAATGGAAATCTGTATATGGTATGACATAGTAGTTAAGATTTTTAGTAGAGGCAGAGTTTCACTGTGTTGGTCAGGCTGGTCTTGAACTCCTGACCTCGTGATCCACCCACCTTGGCCTTCCAAAGTGCTGGGATTACAGGTGTGAGCCACTGTGCCCAGCCGGGGGCTGTTTTTTAAATGCCCTTATGCCAGTTGGTCATGTCTGAGTTGTGCCATGGTGGGGGGATGGAGTGGTACCTAGCTTCTCAGGTAGGTAGCTCTCCTTTAGCCATGAAAAGGGCATCTGTGAATTATAAGGCAAAGCAGCAACTGGGTAACAGGCATACTGGCAGGTTAAGGAAATCTGGTGGGAACACTGGCAGCATCCACTACAAGGTTATATGCTTGAAGAAGAAAAATATTACAAGTCAGTATCAGTAACAGACACATGGAGGTTGGAACAAAACTGAATTATGGAACAGGCTAAGGAACCTATCAATACTGTGCTTCAGGGTGTAACGATATCTTCTCCTCACTTGTCAGCATAGAAATCACTTTTTAAATGGTTCGTAATCATTGATGTATTTACCTCTGGGGCAGTTTTGATCCTAGAAAGAAGAGACAAAATAGAACAGGGAGGAGTCCTGTGATGAGAGGTTGTGAAGGTTGAAAATTAGGTTTAGAGATAATAAGGATGAGAATCTGTCACCAGATGGAGGTACTTCAGTATTAAACAAGAGCGGTTCTCGGTGTGAGTGGGCTACTATAAGAGAGGGAAGGTGTGGCAGGACGTGGTTACTCACACTTGCAATCCCGGCACTTTGGGAGGCCAAGGCCAGCAGATCATGAGGTCAGGAGTTCAAGACCAGCCTGGCCAACACAGTGAAACCCTGTCTCTACTAAAAATACAAAAATTATCTGGGCGTGGTGGCAGATGCCTGTAAACCCAGCTACTCCAGAGGCTGAGGCAGGAGAATTGCTTGAACCCAGGAGGCGGAGGTTGCAGTGAGCTGAGGTTATGCCACCGCACTCCAGCCTGGGTGACAGAGCAAGACTCCAACTCAAAAAAAAAAAAAGAAAAAGAAGAGGGGGAAGGTGAAAGTTGGAGAAGTGAGAGGCACTGGCAGCATGAATGGTGAAGGTGTACAGGGTGGCAGTAGCAGCTGGGGTGGATAGGAAGACCATGTACAGAGTCCTGGAGGGGCCAGGGTTAGGGAAAGAGCAGCGCAGTATGATGGTCTAAGTTTTCAAAGGGGAGCATTGAGGTGACTGAAGGAAGAAAGACTTGGAAGAAGTGGGAGTGCGAGGGAAAATAAGAATGGTGACTTGATGCTTTCCCAAGACATGAGTGGCTGTTCCCAGAAAAGACTGCAGGATGTCTTCAGGAAAAGCCAGGTTTCCCCATGAGTGCAGACGGTAGAGAAAAAGATGAAGCAAAAAGCAGAAGGCCTGTGGAAAGGGCTGGGCAATCGAACAGGAAGTCTAGAGGCCACAGAGAAAGCAATGAGAAGATACAAACTGTTAGGGATATTAAAACATAAGGCATTATTGGTGGCTCAGAGATTTTATGCCACTAAAAAAAACCTATCAGTTCCATTTCATCCAAGGTTAACTAAGTGTTAATTCTTTCTAAACTTCACTCAATTTGCAAGATTCTCCATGCCTATTAAAAAGCAAATCCCCAATTAAATATGGTTTTGAGTTTGCTTAAAGAGTAGAAATATTGGGAGGCCGAGGAGGGTGGATCATGAGGTCAAGAGATCGAGACCATCCTGGTCAATGTGGTGAAACCCCGTCTCTACTAAAAATACAAAAAATTAGCTGGGCATTGTGGTGCACGCCTGTAATCCCAGCTACTTGGGAGGCTGAGGCAGGAGAATTGCCTGAACCCAGGAAGCAGAGGTTTCAGTGAGCCGAGATTGCACCATTGCACTCCAGCCTGGGTAACAAGAGCGAAATTCCGTCTCAGAAAAAAAAAAGAGTAGAAATAAAAATATTTTGAAAAAAGCAAATTGTGAGTATGGAGACTGTAACATACGTGACCCGTGCCCTTCGAGCCTGCACACCTAGGGAGGTGTTCGTCTAGGCAGAAGGAAGAGCTAAGATGCCCTTCTAGGAGCTGCTGCCCAGCAATGACAGCAAATCTCCACGCCCTTCACTGAAGATTAAAGCTGAGACTAATCCAAGCACAGTTTCTTTTAATGAACTGGTAGGGCCAGTAGAAATGCTCCAGGGTTGGCAGGAAAAGCTGGAATCTGGGGGTGTAATTTCCGCTTGAGTTTTTTTGGGTAGTTTTGTTTTCCTGACATCAGTGAGGGTATTGGGTGTTTACGAATTATTGGCATTAGGCACAACTCCTGGTACATAATAGACTTGGTAAATGTTTATTGAATGAATTAAAATGAGATATTTTTATAATGGATGGATGGAATAGAGAACACGAATAGGTGTGTGTGTGTGTGTGCGTGTGCATGCACGCATGCACATGTTCGCTTGCCTGCGGCTGCCTATCAAAACGTTCCTTGTTCCTTTTTCTTGTTCTTTTCTAGCAAGATAGTTTTCTTTCATTTTTCTTCTTTGCATTTGACACTCCTAAATAATGTGACTGCAAAAATAACTCTATTATAGAGAATGACTTGTCAGGACACAGCTCTGTCCATCTGCGGTAAGTAAAGAATGCATTTAATGTGTGTGTTCACCGGGCTGTACACCCTTGGTTCCCAGCGTTGGCTGTACATTGTAATCACCTGGGGTGATAAAAATTCTGATGCCTGGTTTCCACCCAAGAGATGCTGACTCAGTTGGTCTGGGGTGGGGCTTGGGCATAGATTCTTTTTAAAGTTCCTGAGGAGATTTTAAGGTGCACGCAAGGTGGAAAACCACTGCTGAAGCAGATTTGGAGAGCTGTAAATTAAGGGTCTCAGCCACCTAACTGACATTTGCTTCCTAGGTCCGTGCCCAGACATCTCTGTCTCTCCAAATCCTGAGGTAAGTTCTTATTTTGGCTCCAACTTAACACATCTGTATTTTGAGAACAATGACGTTTGTTGATTTGAAAGAATTGCTTTTATTGTGCATAGACTTTCTGGGAGTAGTTTTATTTAATTCAGTTCCTACAGGGCCATGACAATGTATCTTCTTTGACATAAATACTTCCTTTTATTTCTGAGTTAACCTGCCAGGGATCCCTGCGAGGAAACCTGACGTTGAAGTGGAAGCTTTGACATCAGATGTGGGATGCCTTAGCAGGGATGAGCCCTTGAGAGCAAAAGGCTGCAAAGTATACAGGCTTTAAAAAACTTTACTTTGCATTAATCTTATTCTTGTTCTAGGATTCCTCCTAAAGCCTTTACTAACTAGTTATAAAGTAGCTGATAATGAAACAAACATAAAACCCGTTCTACCTGTTTATTTTTGGCAGATACTAATTCCTCTTCAAAAATTAGTTTTGGCCGGGCACGGTAGCTCAAGCCTGTAATCCCAGCACTTTGGGAGGTGGAGGCGGGTGGATCACGAGGTCAAGAGATCGAGACAATCCTGGTCAAGATGGTGAAAACCCGTCTCTACTAAAAATACAAAAAAATTAGCTGGGCGTGGTGGTGCGTGCCTGTAATCCCAGCTACTCAGGAGGCTGAGGCAGGAGAATTGCCTGAACCCAGGAGGCAGAGGTTGCAGTGAGCCGAGATCACGCCATTGCACTCCAGCCTGGGTAACAAGAGCAAAACTCTGTCTCAAAAAAAAAAAAAAATTAGTTTTGTGAAATAACAAAAGTAATGCAAGCTCATATACAGGCCGAAAACAATACAGAAAAGTATAAAAAAAGGAAACCCTTTTACCTCCACCTAATAATCCATGATGAGATACGTGGTTGCCACTTAAGGAAAATTCAGCCCAGAGTCAAGTTTTCAGTGCAGTTAGGGAAAGGGGTTCGAGAGATTTAATCAATCCTGTCACTCTCTCAGCTGAATTTTGAGTCAATTAAGAAATAGTATCAGATAAGAATTCAAGTCTTGGCTTTACTATTGCTAAGGTTGGATGGGCGAGCACTGCTTGAACTTGAGGCCCGTGGGGATTCTTGCACCTCCCCCCACCACCTTATCATGGGCCCCACATCTAGACAAACTGGCATTGCCTGGACAAGGGCTGGGTCTATCTGGGGAAGCTTCCACGAAAAGGAGGCTGAGGGGAGGCAGAGGCAGGCAGGTTCAGACAGAGAACAAGAGAATAAAGCCATTAAAACATTAACTCTGCTCTCTGGGGAAATAAGAACTGAGTACCCTCGGATGATGGCAGATTCCAGTGGACTGATTGATGTTTCCTGACAAGAGAAGGCCGAGAAAGGATGTGAAAAGCAGGCAGCAGCGACCTTTCACCAAGAGGGTGGAAATCCCTATATTCCTGATCAATGCAAGAAGAGGAATAGTAGCAGGAAGGGTGCCCATGACACAGAGCAATTCGAATGTTCAGTTTTAATTGTTGTTCTTGCTGTTCTAGATCTCACTAAAATCATCATGGATTCATTCGGTGCCATCAGCACTCGACTTGGGTTTGATCTTTTCAAAGAGCTGAAGAAAACAAATGATGGCAACATCTTCTTTTCCCCTGTGAGCGTCTCAACTGCCATTGGCATGCTTCTCCCAGGAACCCGAGGAGCCACTGCTTCCAAGTTGCAGAAGGTTAGTGTGGTTTGAGGGGGTCTTTCTTGTTTTCTATGCACAAATTTGTTTGAGGGGTTGTTCAGCCCTCTTGCATTGTCTTGAAAATACGCTCATCTTAACCTGTGGCTCAGGAAACAAAAACTTTCAAGGCAGGGAGCAATTTCAGGTCTATCAGGAAAGGCTTCTTCCCTTTCCAAATACCATCTCTCCACCTGCTCTCAGATGCTTGAGATTCCTTTGAGTAGGGACTGGTTGAGTGACCTTGTCCAAAGCCATTGCACTCACAATAAAGACAGAGCATGAAAAGTACTTATGGAAGATGTAACATAATCCCCACTAGAGTAAAAATGACACATCCAAGATGAATACAGGAACAGATAAGCCAATACAAGCTCCTTAGAAAAAAATCAGAGGTATTCTTAGCAGAGATGGAGTTTCACCACGTTGGCCAGGCTGGTCTCGAACTCCGGACGCAGGTGATTCACCTGCCTCAGCCTCCCAAAGTGCTGGGATTACAGGTGTGAGCTTAGCTGGGCGTGGTGGTGGGCACCTATAACCCCAGCTATTGGGGAGGCTGAGGCAGGAGAATTGCTTGAATCTGGGGGGCAGAAGTTTCAGTGAGCTGAGATCATGCCTCTTCATTCCAGTCTGCGAGAAAGCAAAATTCAGTCTTAAAAAAGAAAGAAAGAAAGAAAGAAAGAAAGAAAGAAAGAAAGAAAGAAAGAAAGAAAGAAAACCAGAGGCAAACATAGACCTTTTCATGATTTTTCAAGGGGAGAATGTCACCTGTATACCTATATGTATTTCACAATCATCCACTCTCCCCTGACTCAAATATATTCACCTGTATATATTTCTCCTCTGACTGATTCTGTGTGAGGTTTTCTCTTCTCCAAGAACCACAGTAATATTTTCTGTCTCTTCCAGGTGTTTCACTCTGAAAAAGACACGAAGACCTCAAGAATAAAGGCTGAAGAAAAAGAGGTGGGGAGACGTGTTTTACAAACTTCAGCAGAGTTGCATTTTTGATGTGGGCTCTTTGGGGAAAAGGACTGAGAATGGCATGAAAGGAGTAACATTTATTTATTATTAAGCAATAATGATCACTGTAGACAAATTATGTTGTAAGGATTATACAATAAAAATAACCCCTTAGTATTAAGAAGAGATCTTAGGTGTAATGAACAATGCCACTGTGATAGAACTGGTAAAGGCTAATAGACTGAAAAATTCCCATAGCAGAGTGGATGGGTTTTGGAGTTAAACGGATTTACGTTCAAGTCCTGGCTCAGTCACTTAAGAGAGATGCTACTTCGGGCAAGTTATTTATCTTCCTTCAGCCTCTGTAAAGCGTCCAGTAGGGGCATCTGGTAACTCAGCCAGTGGTGGTGGCGGGTAGCAGGGGGTGACATTATTGCTAAACTCCACTCATATTTCTAGCCCCCTGCTGATGTTGTATGTAGAAAATCAGTACAGGCCCAATGACCTCCTGAGGTTTTTTTCCAGCTCCAGTGTTCCAGTATTCCCCACCCAAAGGAGAGTCTAGCCAAACACGGGAAAGGAATAAGCCCATTAGGTCTTCACAGCTAGCATCAGGAGATGTTAGCAGTGTCAGGTAGGGTACAGCTGCCTTGACAGTAGTCATGGTGCAATTCCAGACCCTCATAAAACCAAAGCTCAGATCACCCAGCAATATGAGCTTCTCATTTCGCAACCTCAAAGGCTAGGTTGTCTGGGTGGCTCAGTTGCGTCTATGGAGAGTCAGGCTTCCTTTCATAGTTCGCACAGCCAAGTCGGGTCATACAGGCACTGCAATGTCCCCTCAATTGAGGAGTGTGGTTGTTTTCAGAGCACATTCTTTCTCAGCCATTACAGCCCATATAGAACCTTTGTGCAAATCAGAAAAAGCTCATTCTTTCGGATAGCTGCCCTACTCCTGAGTGAAGGGCTAGATGACTGGGGTGGGAACTGAATTTCAGCTTTGTGTAAGGCACAACTTACACATACATGCTGTCTAGCAGCTTTGCCCATTCCCCAGGATTTTTCTGGGAGCCACAGAGATGTGAAGAAAATAGATTACTGACTGAAAGGATATCAGGACTGGAATACTTCTTAGAAGTCATCTACTCCAATCTCCTCATTTAAATAATTTGTTTAGAGACTGGCTTGACATGTACCCATTTGATTATTATATAAATTCAGGGTATTCTGAATCTTGCTTTTAAAAAATGCTGATAAAATCTCAAGACCTGTGCACAAAAGGTATAAGGAAAAATGCAATAAACACCGTTTAACCCCTCTTTTCGGTGTAAGAAATAAACCATCACCAAATCAACTGGTGCCCCTTAGGCTGATGTATAACACCTTTGTTGAGGGTGTATAATACACCCTCATACTCTCCTGAGAGAGGAAGTCCCACTATTGTGGATTAGGTGTTCATTATTTCCATGTATTTATTATTTCATTCATACCATATCTTTTTGTCATTATTCTTTGCAACTTGATTATTTTTGGCATAGCATTGTGTTTATAAGATTCATCTATTTTAAGTGGATACTTTTAGCCTTAGCTGATTCATTTTTATAGCTGTTTCCTCATTTATTCTGTCAATGGGGCAGGCCTGGGTTCTTTCCTTCCTTCCTTCCTTCCTTCCTTCCTTCCTTCCTTCCTTCCTTCCTTCCTTCCTTCCTTCCTTCCTTCCTTCTCTCCCTCCTTCCTCAAACAATGCAAAAATGGCCCTTTTAATACAAGCCTCCTAATTTGCCTGGGTGAAAGTTTAGCCTTAAGTTATCCAGTATGGTAGCTACTCATGTGGCTATTGAATACTTAAAATATATCTAGTTTAAATTGAGATGTGCTATAGATTTAAAATGCATATTATAGGAGGATTGCTGGCAAGACAGCTGAATAGGAACAGCTCTGGTGTGCAGCTCCCAGCGAGAGCAATGCAGAAGGCAGGTGATCTCCGTATTTCCAATGGAAGTACCTGGTTCATCCCACTGAGACTGGTTAGACAGAGGGTGTAGTCCAAGGAGGGCGAGCAGAAGTGTGGGGGGGGGCTCACCTCACCTGGGAAGCACAAGGGGCTGGAGAACTTCCTCTCCCAGCCAAGGGAAGCCATTAGGGGCTTTTCCTGGCACTCTGACATTCTGGCTCTGATACTGCACTTTTCCCACAATTTTCATAACCCACAGTTCAGGAGATACAATACAATTGTATGCACCCTCTGGTACAAACAATATCAGTGCCCCAGGTTTCCAGCACAAAACTAGGTGGCTGTTTCAGCTACAGCAGTTTTTTTTCCCTTATACCCCAGTGGTGTCTGGAATGTGATCAAGACAGAACCCCTCAAACCCCTAAAAAAGGGGGCTGAAGGCAGGGAGCCAAGTGATCTGGCTCAGTGGGACCCACACCCATGAATACCAGCAGGCTAAGATCCACTGGCCTAAAATTCTTGCAACCAGCACTGCAGTCTGAGCTTGACGTGGGACATTCAAGCTCGGTGAGGAAAGGGGCATCCACCATTGCTGAAGCTCAGGTAGGTGGTTTTAACCACACCTGAGTAAATGAAGTTTCTGAGAAGTTTACACAGCAAGTGGGTGGAGCCAGTTTTTTAAAAAGATCAACCAAATAGACCACTAGCCAGACTAATAAGAAAGAAAAGAGAGAAGAATCAAGTAGATGCAATAAAAAAATGATAAAGGGAATATCACCATAACATCTAGAAGAAATGCATAAATTTCTGGACACTTACACCCTCCCAAGACTGAACCAGGAAGAAGTTGAATCCCTGGAAAGACCAATAACAAGATCTGAAGCTGAGACAGCAATTAATAGCCTACCAACCAAAAAAAGTCCAGGACCAGACGGATTCATAGCTTAATTCTACCAGATGTGCAAAAAGGAGCTGGACATTTCTTCTGAAACTATTCCAAGCAATAGAAAAAGGGAGAATCCTCCCTAATTGATTTTATGAGACCAACATCATCTTGATACCAAAACCTGGCAGAGACACAACTAAAAAAGAAAATTTCAGGTCAATATCCATGATGAACGTTGATGTGAAAATCTTCAATAAAATACTGGCAAACAGAATCCAACAGCACATCAAAAAACTTATCCATTATGATCAAGTTGGCTTTATTCCTGGAATGCAAGGCTGGTTTAACATACACAAATTAATAATCCATCACGGAAACAGAACCAAAGACAAAAACCACATGACTACCTATAGAGAAGGCCTTCAACGAAATTCAACAGCCCTTTATGAGAAAAACTCTCAATAAACTCGGTATTGATGGAACTTATCTCAAAATAGTAAGAGCTGTTTATGACAAACCCACAGCCATTATTATACTGAATGGGAAAAAACAGGAAGCATTCCCTTTGAAAACTGATACAAGACAAGGATGCCCTCTCTCACCACTCCTTTTCAACATAGCCTTGGAAGTTCTGGCCAGGGCAACCAGAAAAGAAAAAGAAATAAAGGGCATTCAGTTAGGAAAAGAGGAAGTCGCATTGTCTCTATTTGCAGACAACATGATTGTATATTTAGAAGACCCCGTTGTCTCAGCCCAAAATCTCCTTAAACTGATAAGCAACTTCAGCAAAGTCTCAGGATACAAAATCAACGTGCAACAATCACAAGCATTGCTATATGCCAATAGCAGACAAACAGAGAGTCAAATCATGAGTGAACTCCCATTCACAATTGCTACAGAGAGAATCAAATGCCTAGGAATACAACTAATGATGGATGTGAAGGACCTCTTCAAGGAGAACTACAAACCACTGCTCAAGGAAATAAGAGAGTACACAAACAGATGGAGAAACATTCCATGCTCATGATTAGGAAGAATCAGTATCATGAAAATGGCCATACTGCCCAAAGTAATTTATAGATTCAGTGCTGTCCCCATCAAGCTACCATTGAATTTCTTCACAGAGTTGGAAAACAAAGAAACAAACCAACACCTTAAATTTCATATGGAATCAAAAAAGAGCCCACATACCCAAGACAATCCTAAAAAAAAAAAAAAAAAGAAAAAGCTGGAGGCATCTGGAGGCATCATGCTACCTAACTTCAAACTATATTACAAGACTACAGTAGTCATAAAAACATGGTACTGGTACTAAAGCAGAGATATAGACCAATGGAACAAAATAGAGGCCTCAGAAGTAACGCTACACATCTACAACCATCTTATTTTTGACAAACCTGACAAAAACAAACAATGGGGAAAGTATTCCTTATTTAACAAATGGTGTTGGGAAAACTGGCTTGCCATATGCAGAAAGCTGAAACTGGATCCCTTCTTTACACCTTATACAACAATTAATTCCAGATAGATTAAAGATTTAAACATAAGGCCTAACGCCATAAAACCTTAGAAGAAAACCTAGGTAATCATTCAGGACGTAGGCATGGCAAGGACTTCATGACTAAAACACCAAAAGCAATGGCAACAAAAGCCAAAATAGAAAAACGGGATCTAATGAAACTAAAGAGCTTCTGCATGCAAAAGAAACTATCACTAGAGTGAACCAGCAACCAACAGAATGGAAAAATCTTTTTGCAAGCTACCATCTGACAAAGGGCTAATATCCAGAATCAACAAAGAACTTAAACAAATTTACAAGAAAAAAACAAACAACCCTATCAAAAAGTGGATGAAGGGTATGAACAGACACTTCTCAAAAGAAGACATTTATGCAGTGAACAAATATATGAAAAAAGGCTCATTATCACTGGTCATTAGAGAAATGCAAATCAAAACCACATTGAGCAACCATCTCACACCAGTTAGTATGGCAATCATTAAAAAATCAGGAGACAACAGATGCTGGAGAGAATGTGGAGAAGTAGGAATGCTTTTACACTGTTGGTGAGTGTGTAAATTACTTTAACCATTGTAGAAGATAGTGTGGCAATTCCTTAAGGATCTAGAATGAAAAATACCATTTGACCCAGCAATTCCATTACTGGGTATATAATAAAGGATTATAAGTCATTCATTTATAAAGATACATGTACATGTATGTTTATTGCAGCACTTTTCACAATAGCAAAGACTTGGAACCAACCCAAATGCCCATCAATGATAGACTGGATAAAGAAAATGTGGCCATTATATATCATGGAATACTATGCAGCCATAAAAAGGATGAGTTCATGTCCTTTGCAGGGACATGGATAAAGCTGGAAAGCATTATTCTCAGTAAACTAACACAAGAACAGAAAACCAGCAAACTGACACAAGAACAGAAAAAGAAACACCGCATGTTCTTGCTTATAAGTGGGTGTTGAACAATGAGAACCCATGGACATAGGGAAGGGAACATCACACACCAGGGCCTGTCGAGGGGTGGAGGGCTAGGGGAGGGATAGCAGGGGGAGGGGGCATAGGGGAAGGATAGCATTAGGAGAAATAAATAATGTAGATGATGGGGTGACGGATGCTGCAAACCACCATGGCACATATGTATATACATACATATGTAACAAACCTGCATGCTCTGCACATGTACCCCAGAACTTAAAGAATAATAATAAAAAATAAAATGCATATTGTATTTCAAGAACTTAGTATGAGAATACAAAATATTAATTTTAATATATTATTTTTTGATGAAATGTGTATATTTTATATATTAACATATAATTAATATTTATTGTATTTATATGTTGAAATAATGATATTCTAGATATGTTGGTAAGGTAACACAGAATACGAAACCTTCAATCAGAAAACTGATGGGTCCTACATCAAATATCCAGAAAAGTTTGTTTTTTTACCCTGGTGACAAGGACAAATGTCACTTCATCCCAATGTGTAGTGACTCAAACCATCAGGAGTCACTTTTCTTATTCACTATCTGGAAAAAGTTTCTAAACTTTAGTAGATAAGAATTGTTTGGGGAAATTATTTACTTTCTTTAAGTGCTTAGAATCTTGTGGGGAGCTAAAAGCAAGCTTACTGAACATTTAATTAGCACTTTTGTTTGAGACCAAACAAACCACAACTTGGGTTATAAAATCAAGATCTGTGGTGTTGGGCTTGCAGAGAAGGCTTTTCTCTGGAACTGAGATTGGTCATAACTTACATCATCCTATGACTTGGGTAAAAGCCACCTGATATCCAGGGACCGCACCAAACACAGGGACCACCCTTGAGGCTGACAGACTCAGGGAGAGACCCAGCAACCACATCCTCATAGCGGAGAACCTAGGCTTGCTTTTGCCAAGATAACCTGTTGAGTTTTTGTTTTAACTTTCAAGATTGAGAAGACAGAAGCAATACATCAACAATTCCAAAAGTTTTTGACTGAAATAAGGAAACTCACTAATGATTATGAACTGAACATAACCAACAGGCTGTTTGGAGAACAAACATACCTCTTCCTTCAAGTAAGTTTTGCTGTGCTTACCCCATCTGCGAGTTACGTATTCTGGAATGGCCAAATGGCACAGTCCCACCTGGGTCCTGAAGTCATGCTGCCTGAGTCGTCTGCTTGGCTCTGGCCACATCACTGCAGTGCTTTTCCATCCTGACCTAAAGACATTCAGAACTGTAGGGAGCTTCTTTTTAGTCCTGGCAATCTGAACCTGGTTTTTGCCTCGTCCCCAGAGAAGCTGCATAAAAATGTGCATGCAGGCACTCAACGTGATGTGCCCAGGGCCTTAAAATTTTCTTGCAATATTAGTCATCCTAATGTATACATAAATTTATTTAGTGATGTTGGCAATTGATAAATTGACTTTTTAACCTCTTTTTATTCTTTCTTTGTTTCTCCTAAAGAAATACTTGGATTATGTTGAAAAATATTACCATGCATCTCTGGAACCTGTTGATTTTGTAAACGCAGCAGATGAAAGTCGAAAGAAGATTAATTCCTGGGTTGAAAGCCAAACAAATGGTAGAGTATGGGTGGATCATTCATTGCACAAACAAACAAATGAACAGCACTTCTTGCCAACCTGCTGTGAATGAAGCCCTGGGCTGGACTGCGTGGGGTGTCGTGCAGTCAATAAGCTTTGGGAAGGGAACTGAGATAGGTTTTGCAGGGTTGGAAGGGAGGTCGGGAGGGCACTGCAGATTTGGAGCAATTTCAGAAAGTGTGGAGAGGCCAAGGGGAGACAGCAGGGGGACCACATGAAGCCAACTGCATGGAAACGCTTGCTGGAGAGTTGTTTACACATAGCCATGGATCACAGTACCTGCCGGGGCCGGGGGGGGGGGTCCTGAAAATGGGATGATGTCTGCCTTGGGTTTACATTCTTTCCTTTATATCAGAGCCTTTCTTTCTGAGTTTTTCTCTTTCCATGTTAAGTGAGAAACACGCAGCTCTCCCATCAAGACTTGTCTTTCCCACCCACAGCTGGGGCCACCTGGGCTTCATCTTCACTTAAGCATCGTGCAGGGATGATGACAACCTACAGCCCTCCCCACAGCAGAGGATTTGACAAGTTTCTTACTCCATTATTCCTTTCTTATCCCATCCTATGAGAAATCCACAGAGAAAGGTTGATGTGGAAATTCACCTTGGGGAGCAATAGCTGATACTTTACTGTTAAGAGTTTCAGATTCAATTTTTTTTTTCTTTTTCTTTTCCTTTTTTTTTTGAGAAGGAGTTTTGCTCTTTTTACCCAGGCTGGAGTGCAATGGCACAATCTCGGCTCACCGCAACCTCCACCTCCTGGGTTCAGGTAATTCTCCTGCCTCAGCTTCCTGAGTAGCTAGGATTACAGGCACGCGCCACCGTGCCCAGCTAATTTTTTGTATTTTTAGTAGAGACGGGGTTTCACCTCGTTGACCAGGATGGTCTCGGTCTCTTGACCTCGTGATCCACCCGCCTCTGCCTCCCGAAGTGCTGGGATTATAGGCTTGAGCCACCGCACCCGACCCAGATTCAATTTTTATAACAATTATCAGAGAGACCTTTGTTATTCAGAATGTATTTTTCCCCCTCATGCTTGGTCTGAAGAAAGGACATAAAAGAAGTAGAAAATATAAGATCTTTCAAAAAGTTGGTTGAACAGTACTTTTTAGAATTTACTGTGAGATGGGCTGAACTCAGAGACAAAAATATCAACTCCTTGTCCCATATAAGTATCCCTCAGTCTCAGGTGGTAACTTATTGAATGGTAAGCATAATAATAGTGAATACAGGGTGCTTATTTCGTGAGAGATGGTGTTCCAAATGCTTTACGTGTGTTAAATCATTCGCTCCTTTCAACAACCCTATGAGGCAGATTTTAAATATATATATATATATATATTTTTTTTTTTATTGCCCTTTGGGTTCTGGGGTACATGTGCAGAACATGCAGGATTGTTTATGAGGCAGATTTTATTCCTATTTTACAGATGTGGAAACCGAGGCACAGACAGTCTAAATAACTCACCCAAGGGTTCTTAGCTGATAAGAGGCAAAACTGGATGCTAACAGAGGCATCTGACCCCAGAGTCCAGACTCTTAACCATGAACCTTAATTTATTCAGTGGTATAAATGGGCAAAATGAGAACCTCCCTGCTGATTCGGCCAGGGAACCCTTTGTCAGCAAGGCACTCAGGTGCTGACCTGGCTGGGTTTTTAATGATCAGTCAAGTCCATCTGCGTCATATCTGTCATACATATTCCTTGTCCTTTGGAAGATGGGCCAACCTTTTTCTGTTTCTTCATTTGCAGAAAAAATCAAGGACTTGCTCCCAGATGGCTCTATTAGTAGCTCTACCAAGCTGGTGCTGGTGAACACAGTTTATTTTAAAGGGCAATGGGACAGGGAGTTTAAGAAAGAAAATACCAAGGAAGAGAAATTTTGGATGAATAAGGTATGGTCTTTTATTTTTGTGATGTCCTTACACATGGGATGTAACATCTAAAGTCATGTGGTGGTGTATGCCTGTAGTCCCAGCTACTTGGGAGACTGAGGCAGGAGAATTGCTTGAACCTGGGAGGCAGAGGTTGCAGTGAGATGAGATCATGCCACTGCACTCCAGCCTGGTGACAGAGCAAGATCCCTTCTTAAAAAAAAAAATCTAAAGTCATGTTTGAGCAAATGCACCCTGGTAGGTAGCAAATGCTCATTCTGAGACTCTGATATTCAGCTTTATTTAGATTGAGCTAATTATTTTGATGAGCTAGCTTGGTTGCCTTAATGCCTTTGGTCTCATGTACTTTAATATTGTGTGCTCTGTTAATTTGTTGCAGAACACAAGTAAATCTGTGCAGATGATGACACAGAGCCATTCCTTTAGCTTCACTTTCCTGGAGGACTTGCAGGCCAAAATTCTAGGGATTCCATATAAAAACAATGATCTAAGCATGTTTGTGCTTCTGCCCAATGACATCGATGGTCTGGAAAAGGTAAACGCTTGCATCTCCTTATTCTTGCTTTCATCTCCTGAGGCTTTGTGTCCCAGGGCTTCTGAATAGAAGCTGGTGGCCAACAGCGTCAAATAGAAACTGTTTCTCACTGTGCAGCAGCTGCAGATGGATGTCAACAGGGGAGCACTAACTAGTACAGGTCAGGTTTCTTGAGAACAACCAAATCGTAGAATTTTTGGGATGAACTAAAATGAAAATTTAAGATAATATGGGAGTCCTAAAGATTACCCACCATTCTGAGAAATGGTTGATATCTATGGACCCCTTTTCTGAAAAATAAAATCATATATGCATATATACGACCAATTCTGCACACTGTTCAGTAGGCTCTTGGAGCTTGTGAATTTCTTTCTTACATCCTTACACCATTGATTTAGTGTCACTCATTTTGTGGTTAAAAAATGTATGTGATTACTGCCCTGCATTTTGAAAGTCAGGAGAGCTTTGTTTCAAATCTCTCTTTCTTTAGTGGCTTTCTGACCCTTGCAGCTTCTCAACTTCCTTGAACTTCAGTCCTTCCCCATCTCTAAAGAGGAGTCCATGGTGCTTCATGTGTAGCGCTGTCGTAATGATTAGAGAAACGTAGCCTTGGAGGAGTCTAGGACATAGAAAGCAGTCAACAACTATAGCTGCTGTCTTCTTATAATACTAGTAGCATTTTAAGTTGGAAAATATTTTTGGACAGCAAAATGCCAATATGTCTGAGAGTTTTAAGAGTATTTATTTCTGATTCAAAACCCCAGCTGTGAGAATTACCCTAAAGAAATAATGTAGAAGAAACAATTGCCTTTCTGAGTCAAATCAGTTATTTCAGTGTTAGATACACTGGAATGCCTAGTTTGAAATTCATAGTGATTATTATTTTTGTATCCTTAGTAACAATCAAAACTATCATAATACCTCATATAGACTAAATGTCTGTAAAGTGAATTAATAGCTAAATATTGGGAAGAATTTATCAACATAATGAGAATATTATCTAGCAGTTTGAAGATAGCAGAGATATGCAACAGTGAAAAATTTTACTTCATTTTATTTGAATGTTCAAATAAAATGAAGCAAAAGTTTTAAATTATTGTGATTGCAACTATACAAATATGTATGCATTCAAAGACTAGGAAAGGTAGTTAAAATGAAGTATATATTAGGTTGATAAAGTAAATGACTTATTTTTAATCTTTAAAAATTTATTTAATGCTATTGGATTTCCACACATACACAGATAATTTAAGTGGAAAAATATAAGACAACTGGGTCTGTTCGGGGGGAATAGGGGAGTGGCAGTGGGGGATAGGGAGGGATAACATGGGGAGAAATGCCGGATATAGGCGACGTGGGGATGGAGGCAGCAAACCACATTGCCATGTACGTACCTATGCAACATGGCATGTACCCCAGAACCTAAAGTGCAATAAAATATATGTATTTTAAAAAAAGAAAGAAACAATGCTCAGCAACAGGGTGTTGGTTAAGTAAGTTTGTATACCAACATATAGCTTGCTATTTTGTACCAATGAAAATAAAATTATGGAATATTTACTGATGTAAAAAAACGAGAAATATAAGACAACCACCTGCTGTATAAAAACAACAATCTAGTAAAACAAAATTTCCACTTTTAACTATTACTAAAGTTAATAACTTCTGACTGATACAAATCAGTGTTACACTGTTTTAGATTTTTACCAATAATCATACCATTCTACTCTTCTGTTTTTTGAAAATAGATAATAGATAAAATAAGTCCTGAGAAGTTGGTGGAGTGGACTAGTCCAGGGCATATGGAAGAAAGAAGGGTGAATTTGCACTTGCCCCGGTTTGAGGTGGAGGACAGTTATGATCTTGAGGCCGTCCTGGTCGCCATGGGAATGGGTGATGCCTTCAGTGAGCACAAAGCTGACTACTCAGGAATGTCCTCACACTCCGGGTTGTACGCCCAGAAGTTCCTGCACAGTTCCTTCGTGGCGGTCACTGAGGAAGGCACCGAGGCTGCAGCTGCCACCGGCCTAGGCTTTACTGTTGCATCAGCCCCGGGTCATGAAAATGTTCACTGCAATCATCCCTTCCTATTCTTCATCAGGCACAATGAATCCAATAGCATCCTCTTCTTTGGCAGATTTTCTTCTCCTTGAGATGATTGTTGTCATGGCATTGCTGCTTTTAGAAAAAACCGCAAGTGTTATTCATATGATTATGAAAATCATCCATTCTTTTTTTTTTAATTTTTTTTTTAGACAGAGTCTTGCTCTGTCGCCAGGCTGGAGAGCAGTGGGTGATCTCAGCTTACTGTAACCTCTCTGTTTCAAGTCACCTCACTGACTCCCTGTTTCAAGCGATTCTACTGCTTCAGCCTCCCAAGTAGCTGGGATTATAGGCACTCCCCACCACGCCCAGCTAATTTTTTTGTGTGTGTTTTTTTTAGTAGAGACAGGATTTCACCATGTCGGCCAGGATGGTCACGATCTCCTGACCTCATGATCAGCATTCTTTTAAATGTTGTCTTGCTTGCATTCCCAGTCTTGGCCATCAAATCAATGATTTAATGACTCCAGTAGTGTCTGTGTTTATAACCATCCTTGAAAGTGAACTATCCTTTCCTTTGTTCCATGTATAAGGTGAGTCAAACCAAACCTCATTGATAATGCCCCTTGGTTTCTTTTGAAAGTAAATCAGTATTTTGTAGTTTTGTGCACTAAAGGAGAGAAACAGTCTCTCCAGTAAAGAGTATGGACTAGTAATTTTGGGGGTATCTCTAATTCTAATATTTTAGCATGTTGTAATTCACAAGTAAATAAAACAATAATTTACTCAGCTCATGTTGCTGTTCCCCAACAGATATTGTGGCAAATCGCACATAGGAAAGATCATTTGGGAATACGGTAGCAAAACATAAAACTCAAATGGCAGAACAATATACCAGATGGAGAGGATGCTGGTATTTTCATCTTCCATTCTAACATTGTCCACTGTTAGGTGCATACGCATTTTGATATTGTGTAATAAATGTGGTATTTAAGAAGATACATGATGTAGTTGATCAGTATTTCTCCTCTATCACCTCTTTAGACTTTATAAGGTAAGTATTTGGAAAAACTTTTAGAAGGCTTTCCTTTCTTTTTCCCCATTGATATTTTTCTGGTTACTTTTTGAGTGAGGTATGAGTATTACCAAATGATATTTTCTGAAGATGCTTTTTGAAAAGCTCTGAATCTATTGCTGCTCTTAATAGATTCAGCCTCCTGTTTTGTAGGCTTGTTTCATTTTCCCACCCAGTTTTTAACAAGATCACATAATTGGCTTATTTTTTAACAGCTTTGTCAAACTACAATTTACACGCCATAAAATGTACACACTGTAAGTTTATAATTCTTTGACTTTTAGTAAATTTCTAGAGTTGTGCATCACAACAATCCAGTTTTAGAATATTTCCATGACCCGGGCTGGGCATGGTGGCTCATGCCTGTAATCCAAGCACTTTGGAGGCCAAGGTGGGTGGATCACCTGAGATTGGGAGTTCAAGAATATATCCATGACTCTAAAAAGTTTCCTCATGCCTATTAATATTCTCAATCCTAGGTACCACTGAGTTGTTTTCTGCCTTTATAAATTTTTCTTTTCTACATCTTATATAAATGGAATCATACTACATGCAGTATTTTGTGTCTGGTGTCTTGCAGTTAGCATGATGCTCTTGAGGTTCATCTGTTGTAATATGTATTGATACTTAATTTTTTTCATTGCCGAATAGTATTCAATTGCATAGGAAAGACCTATTTTATTTATAGGTTCATCACTTGATGGACATTTGGATTGTCCTCACTTCTTGGCTGTTAGGAATAATGTTGCTCTGAACATAAAAATAAGATCCTTGTGTTCACATATGTTTTCATTTCTGTTGGGTAGATTTCCAGGAGAGAAATTGCTGGGCCATATGACAAGTAAATACTTAGCTTTGTAAGAAACTGTCCAACTGTTTTCCACTGTGGCTGTATTATTTCACATTACCACCAGCAGTGTTTAAAACTAGTGTCTTCGAATTCTCACCAACATCCAGTATCAGGTCTTTATAGCCACTTTTGTAGGTACAAAGTGGTATCTCTGTGGTTTTCATGTACATTTCCCTTACATTTAATTCTCACCAACATCCAGTATCAGGTCTTTATAGCCACTTTTGTAGGTACAAAGCGGTATCTCATTGTGGTTTTCATGTACATTTCCCTTACATTTAATTAGGCTGAGCAGTTTTTAAATGTGTTTATTGACCATTTGTTTGACTCTGTTTGAAGAAATGTATACAAGTCATTTGCTCATTTTTCAATTGGATTGTCTGTCTTGGCCTCTAATTTTATTGAGTTAAAAGAGTTCTTTATAAACTCTGGCTTACAGGCCCTTAATTTCATCTAAAATCGTACCTATATTTCTAAACTTCCTATTCATTTGTTGGGTTTTCCCCAGGCTTTTCTTACAGTTTTTATTCTAAAGACTTATAATTAATATTACAGAACTTTCCAACAATGAATTGATTCTATAAGCAAAGATTGTATGCATGCATGTGGCCATTGTTCATTTTTGTAATTTATTTGGTTATCAGTTTGTTTGTTTTTTTATATCTCCATCTCTTCTTTGAAAGGGCTAAAGGTGGCAAAATGTTTAAATTTACCTTTTTTAAGAGAACATGTAAACATTATTTTCTACTTGATATCATTCAATTTTTTAACGTAAAATGATTGTGAGTTATCACTGTTGATGTTCAGAAAAGGAAATTCTTCAGAGCTTCCTCCCATTGAGGATAGTACAAATTCTATGCTATGGCTCTAAGAAAATACCCCAAGAAGTTCCCAAACCCTTTTGAATAATAAAACTAACTTGAAGCCATCAGTTCTCATTTCTCATGTTCTAACTGAGTAGTCTTGTTAAAATCTCAGAGGGCAATAGAGGGAGACTGGAAGGTAGGGGAAGATACTTTATTCTTTCTTTATTTATTCTTTTTGAGACAGGGTCTTGCTCTGTTAGGCTGGAGTGCAGTGGCATGATCTTGGCTCACTGTGGCCTCGACCTCCTAGGCTTAAGTTATCCTCCTGTCTCAGCCTCTTGAGAAGCTGGGTCTATAAGTGTGTGCCACCATGCCTGGTTAATTTTTGTATTTTTTGTATAGACGAGGTCTCACTATGTCACCCAGGCTGGTCTCAAAGTTCTGGGCTCAAGTGATCTGCCCACCTCAGCCTCCCAAAATGCTGGGATCAGAGGCATGAGCCACTGTGCCCAGCCATATTCTCTCTGTTTTCTTCCTGCTCTTGTCTTTATCTCTAACCTCACTCCAGCAAGGGTTCTCTCCAGGAAGTGTAGGTAGTTATAATTTCTAGCTTGGTTTTAGTCCCCCTAACCTTATCATGATCTTTTAGATACATAAGCATTAACTATGCAGTGCCCTCTCCAAAATCTGAGTTCCAGATCTATAGAGATCCTCTACCAAATTTCTAGGCTCTGATATTTCCAACATTACACTTTGTTTCCTCATGGTTAGGGTGGTCATTCTTGTCTGCAGTTACTTGTTACGTTGCCTCAGCGTTCCCTAACACTTGTTTAATGAATTCCTCAAGTTAAATTCATTCTGTTGCAATACCTGGTGTGAGTCCTTGAGTCCTTTTTTCCTGCTGAATCCTTAATTAATGCACATATATTATTTATAATATTTTAGCATAATGAAAATTGCTCTTCTCAGTTCTGTGTGACATTGCACAACATCAGCTTCTTGAATATTAGTTTTGGAATATTTTTTTTTCTTTTAACTTTGGGGCGCCTAGATATTTTTTTTTTAATTTTTTATTGGATTATAGGTTTTGGGGTACATGAGCAGAGCATGCAAGACAGTTGCGTAGGTACACACATGGCAGTGTGCTTTGCTTTTCTTCTCCCCTTCACCCACATTTGGCATTTCTCCCCAGGCTATCCCTCCCCACCTCCCCCTCCCACTGGCCCTCCCCTTTTCCCCCCAATAGACCCCACTGTTTAGTACTCCCCTTTCTGTGTCCATGTGTTCTCATTTTTCATCACCCACCTATGAGTGAGAATATGCAGTGTTTCATTTTCTGTTCTTGTGTCAGTTTGCTGAGGATGATGTTTTCCAGATTCATCCATGTCCCTACAAACGACACGAACTCATCATTTCTGATTGCTGCATAATATTCCATGGTGTATATGTGCCACATTTTTCCAATCCAGTCTATTATCAATGGGCATTTGGGTTGATTCCAGGTCTTTGCTATTGTAAACAGTGCTGCAATGAACATTCGTGTACATGTGTCCTTACAGTAGAACGATTTATAGTCTTTTGGATATATACCCGGTAATGGGATTGCTGGGTCAAATGGAATTTCTATTTCTAAGGCCTTGAGGAATCGCCACACTGTCTTCCACAATGGTTGAACTAATTTACACTCCCACCAACAGTGTAAAAGTGTTCCTTTTTCTCCACATCCTCTCCAGCATCTGTTGTCTCCAGATTTTTTAATGATTGCCATTCTAACTGGCATGAGATGGTATCTCAATGTGGTTTTGATTTGCATCTCTCTGATGACCAGTGACGATGAGCATTTTTTCATATGATTGTTGGCCTCATATATGTCTTCTTTCGTAAACTATCTGTTCATATCCTTTGCCCACTTTTGAATGGGCTTGTTTGTTTTTTTCCTGTAAATCTGTTTGAGTTCTTTGTAAATTCTGGATATCAGCCCTTTGTCAGATGGGTAGACTGAGAAAATTTTTTCCCATTCTATTGGTTGCCAATCCACTCTAGTGACTGTTTCTTTTGCCGTGCAGAAGCTGTGGAGTTTCATTAGGTCCCATTTGTCTATTTTGGCTTTTGTTGCCAATGCTTTTGGTGTTCTGTTCATGAAGTCCTTGCCTACTCCTATGTCCTGGATGGTTTTGCCTAGATTTCCTTCTAGGGTTTTTAAGGTGCCAGGTCTTATGTTTAAGTCTTTAATCCATCTGGAGTTAATTTTAGTGTAAGGTGTCAGGAAGGGGTCCAGTTTCTGCTTTCTGCACATGGCTAGCCAGTTTTCCCAACACCATTTGTTAAACATGGAATCCTTTCCCCATTGCTTGTTTTTGTCAGGTTTATCAGAGGTTGTATAGTTTATGTATGTTGTGTTGCCTCCGGTGCCTCTGTTTTGTTCCATTGGTCTATATCTCTGTTTTGGTACCAGTACCATGCTGTTTTGATTACTGTAGCCTTGTAGTATAGTTTGAAATCCGGTAGTGTGATGCCCCCCGCTGTGTTCTTTTTGCTTAGAATTGACTTGGCTATGCGGGCTCTCTTTTGGTTCCATATGAAGTTCATGGTGGTTTTTTCCAGTTCTGTGAAGAAAGTCAATGGTAGCTTGATGGGGATAGCATTGATTCTGTAAATTACTTTGGGCAGTATAGCCATTTTCACGATGTTAATTCTTCCTAACCATGAACATGGAATATTTCTCCATCTGTTTGTGTCCTCTCTGATTTCGTTGAGCAGTGGTTTGTAGTTCTCCTTGAAGAGGTCCCTTACGTTCCTTGTGAGTTGTATTCCAAGGTATTTTATTCTTTTTGTAGCAATTGCGAATGGCAGTTCGCTCTTGATTTGGCTTTCTTTAAGTCTGTTATTGGTGTAGACGAATGCTTGTGATTTTTGCACATTGATTTTATATCCTGAGACTTTGCTGAAGTTGTTTATCAGTTTCAGGAGTTTTTGGGCTGAGGCAATGGGGTCTTCTAGGTATACTATCATGTCGTCTGCAAATAGAGACAGTTTGGCTTCCACCTTTCCTATTTGAATACCCTTTATTTCTTTTTCTTGCCTGATTGCTCTGGCTAGAACTTCCAGTACTATATTGAATAGGAGTGGTGAGAGAGGGCATCCTTGTCTAGTGCCAGATTTTAAAGGGAATGCTTCCAGTTTTTGCCCATTCAGTATGATATTGGCTGTTGGTTTGTCATAAATAGCTTTTATTACTTTGAGATACGTTCCATCAATACCGAGTTTATTGAGGGTTTTTAGCATAAAGGGCTGCTGAATTTTGTCAAATGCCTTCTCTGTGTCAATTGAGATAATCATGTGGTTTTTGTTTTTGGTTCTGTTTATGTGGTGAATTACGTTGATAGACTTGCATATGTTGAACCAACCTTGCATCCCTGGGATGAATCCTACTTGATCATGATGAATAAGTTTTTTGATTTGCTGTTGCAATCGGCTTGCCAATATTTTATTGAAGATTTTTGCATCTATGTTCATCATGGATATTGGCCTGAAGTTTTCTTTTCTCGTTGGGTCTCTGCCGGGTTTTGGTATCAGGATGATGTTGGTCTCATAAAATGATTTGGGAAGGATTCCCTCTTTTTGGATTGTTTGAAGTAGTTTTAGAAGGAATGGTACCAGCTCCTCCTTGTGTGTCTGGTAGAATTCGGCTGTGAACCCATCTGGACCTGGGCTTTTTTTGTGTGGTAGGCTCTTAATTGCTGCCTCAACTCCAGACCTTGTTATTGGTCTATTCATAGTTTCAGCTTCCTCCTGGTTTAGGCTTGGGAGGACACAGGAGTCCAGGAATTTATCCGTTTCTTCCAGGTTTACTAGTTTATGCGCATAGAGTTGTTTGTAATATTCTCTGATGATGGTTTGAATTTCTGTGGAATCTGTGGTGATTTCCCCTTTATCATTTTTTATTGCATCTATTTGGTTGTTCTCTCTTTTCTTTTTAATCAATCTGGCTAGTGGTCTGTCTATTTTGTTGATCTTTTCAAAAAACCAGCTCTTGGATTTATTGATTTTTTGAAGGGGTTTTCATGTCTCAATCTCCTTCAGCTCAGCTCTGATCTTAGTTATTTCTTGTCTTCTGCTGGGTTTTGAGTTTTGTTGATCTTGCTCCTCTAGCTCTTTCAATTTTGACGATAGGGTGTCAATTTTGGATCTCTCCATTCTCCTCATATGGGCACTTATTGCTATATACTTTCCTCTAGAGGCTGCTTTAAATGTGTCCCAGAGGTTCTGGCACGTTGTGTCTTCGTTCTCATTGGTTTCGAAGAACTTATTTATTTCTGCCTTCATTTTGTTGTTTACCCAGTCAACATTCAAGAGCCAGTTGTTCAGTTTCCATGAAGCTGTGCGGTTCTGGGTTGGTTTCTGAATTCTGAGTTCTAACTTGATTGCACTATGGTCTGAGAGGCTGTTTGTTATGATTTCAGTTGTTTTGCATTTGTTG